GGGAGAGGCTCCTGCCACCACTGCTGCACTTGCCAGCCATGAACCCAGCTTCTGGCTGAGCAGCACTCCTCCTGTGGGAGCGCACTGACCACCAGGAGGCAGCTCCTCTGTTGAGTGTCTGCCCCATGGTGGTCACTGTGCATCATAGCAACCGGTTGTTCCGCAGTTCGGTCGATTTGCATATTACCCTTTTATTATATAGGATATGCATAGCCCATGGACACTGGCAATAGGGTGGTGAAGACCTGGTGGAGTGGGTAGGTGCTGGGTAGAGTGGCAAAAAGGTGGGGGGAAATGGGTGACATCAGTAATATTATCAACAATAAATAAATATATATATTATAAATAAAAGTTAAAAATTAAAACATATCTGCTGAGCAGAAAGCATTGCAAATACATGAATAAGTGAGGAGTCAACAGGCTAATGAGTTAAAATATTGATAATAAGCACTGTGGTCTTATTGTCTAATCATATACATCCAAAGAAGGTAGAACTAGAAAACTTTCTGTATGTCATTTATACCCTGTCTATTTCCAAAAATGGATTTGTGGCAGTCTCTAGAAATTAACTCCAGCTAAGATTAATTTGGATAAGAATTCAGGAGTTCAAACATTTCATACTGTGAAGGTATTTGTTTCCTTCTCATGCCTGCCTCTTACCTGTTATGGTACAGGGTTGTGGCACTTGTATGTTGTTTATCCTCAAACAGTAGCTTTTTTGAAATATAATAATTTGTATTTTTACTGTTTTTCTTCAGGGATTTTTAGCTCCTGGAGAAATTGATCCCCTGAATCGTAGGTTTTCAACTGTACCAAAACCAGATGTTGTGGTTCAAGGTATGTATTTTTATTCACAGCAACAGATGCTATATTAAAGATCTGGTTTGGCCAGTAAATGATGACTTTATTCTTTTTTTAAAAGTTTGTTTGTATTGATTTTAGAGAGAGGGAGAGAATGGTAGAAACATTAATGATGAGAGAGAATCATCCATCGGCTGCCTCCTGCACCCCTTCTACTGGGGATAGAGCCCACAACCCCAGGCATGTGCCCTGACCAGGAATCAAACCGTGACTTCCTGGTTCATGGGTCTACACTGAACCATTAAGCCATACCAGCTGGTCAGACTTTATTCTTTATCATGTATTTTTTTAGGGTTCGAAAAGTATAGAATGAATGTGGTTCTGTTTCATTTCAAAATTGCTATTAATCTTAATTATGAATAAATGTTTAATAAATGATGTTATTTGACACTTAATCACTCCTTACTTATGGAAGCACTTTTCCTTTCATCATCATGATATTGTAGCCTTATGATTATCTCTGCTTTCTTTTTGAGCATTCCTTCTGTGTTTTTCCTACTAATACTCCTTTCTTCTAATATCCTCCTAATGGTTGTGTATTTAGTCTTATGTTATTGTCTTTCAGGATTTACACCCTGTCTTAGTTTTCTAGGACTGCCTCTTTCATAATAAAGTTGTTTATATGGCTTCAACTATTGCCTCCAAACCTTTACCTTTTGTTCCTAACAATCATCAAAAATGTTGAGGTACCTATTCTATAAAAAACACTGGGCTAAGCTCTAAGGTATTAAGAATTCTAGTCCCAATACCTATAAAATATCTTTATCACTTCTACTTCAAATGCAAACCTGACCTTTTCTTGTCTCCATCCCCTCATATTACCTCTCCCAAGAAAAGCAGATCTTTCTACTTTCCTTATCTGTCTCAATTACTTCACTGCTATCCTAGTCTCCTAAGGTAGAAAGTTTGAAGTGATTTTTGACTCTCCAATAACACAATCTAACATGGTACTAAGTCTCTCTGTGAAGCTTCTCTGAAAGGTCTCCAGTCACTTGACTTTGGGGTTGGTTATATGTGCAAAATAATCTCGTATGTGTTCTAAACTTTCTTATACTTGACACCTATGTGGTCATATAGGTAGTCTTTGCTTATCAGTGTATATAGCAAACATAATTTTAAAAAGGACCATTCCTCTTCCCCTCCCATGAGAAAGCTTGTTCTCCTTTGAGGCTTTTGCCATCTGGCTATACTGATCTCCTGGTTGCTCTAATTCATTCATTGAAGACTTTGATTCTTGGCTCACAGCCTTCTTTTATAGTTCCTACTATAGTGCTAGATTTCAGCATTAGAGTAAGTGCCCTCAAACATTTTAGCTTTAAATTTCTTTGATATACATAGCCCTACTAACATTTCCTTCCACCTCTACTTTAGCCACTCAGTTTGAAGAACAAGGACACAACTTTAGAACCACCTTAGATATTTTCCACTTCAAAAAATCCCCATCTCCAGTCATAGCTACATATTATTTGTTTTCTTTTTCCTCCCCTTACACTTCTAATCTGCCTTGCCCTACCTCTTGGTTGATCATCTGAATATCTTAAGCACCACTGTACAATACTTCTACTATACCCACCAGAAAAATCATAGCTCCACATCAATCTGACAATCAGCATTTTCTGATCCTATACCTGGCCTACTAAAGTTACTAGAAAAAAGTTACACAAATGAGCAGAGTGGTAGCACTGTAAATCCATGGTCCCCAACTCAGCTAGATCCACAATGCCTTGTTCTTATTGTTAGCCAGCATTTTTATTCTTCTAAGCCACTATTCCAAACCTTCTCTTTTCAACACCACCTCTTAAATTCAGCCTCATTTTTGGCCTTCTACTTCATGCTGGATAATCTTAATATTCGGATCTTTGTCAGTTTCCCACCCTCCCCCTATACCACAATCTTACTTATATCTTCACCCATCCTTGCATCCTTCCCTCCAGTCTCAGAAGAGGTGTCTCTTCTCATCTTTAAGGCCAACTTTTTTTTTTCCTGATGCTTGATTCTATTCTCTTCCTTAGCCTTCTTAAAATACTACTCTTTTCTTTAATCTTCAAAAATTTTTTAGTTGGTCCTGCTTTTTAATCCATTGACATGTTCATCTCCCTCTAGTTATCCTATCCTCCCTTTCTCATCCAAACTTCCCCTTCTTTTTATTTCATTCATTCTGCAATTCTTTATAGTCTAGCTCATTACTCCTTGGAAAATTCTTTTACTTAAGTTATTACCAAACTCAATAGATCATTTTTAATTCATACATTAGTTGATCTTTATGTTTCATTTATTGTTTATCTTTTTGGACACTCTTAACTCTTCTGTGATACCATACTCTCTTAATTCTTCTTCAACCTAAATTTTTCACTATTTTGTTTCATTCTGGGCTTTCTTTTTTTCTTTGCCCCCTAATTGTTGGTCTTCCTTGGAGTTCTGTCTGTAGCCCACTGTTCCTCTAACTGAAAATACTTGTTCTTGTCTCTCAGGGTCCTGCTATTTCAAACATTTTTTTTCTTTTTTCTGCCTCCTTCTTCCTTCTCAGAAGATGACCTCACCTCCTATGACAAAGAAAATATAAGCCGTAAGATTAAAAAAAACCCTCACTCCTACCCCAGGCTTTTCTTTATTTGCTCACTTCTTATATATTGCAATTTCTCATGGTTGTATTCTAGGTTCTCTCCTCTTCTCTATATATCTCCTTGATCCATCTCATCTCTTTCTATGCTAATACTCTTTAATTTATATAGGTGTCCTTTACAAAAGCCCCACTCAGATGTCTCACATGCACTTTAAACTTAGCATAGCTAAAATTAATCAGCTGACTCCTCCTCTTACTACATCACTCATGCCTGCTTTTCTCCCTATGTGCCTATGTCATTAGATGGCACAACATCCTTCCAGTTACATACATAAGTACTTGGGGAATCATTTTCTATATCTCTCCCTCTCTCGTCTCCTAAGGAAACCAATTAATAAGTCCTAGTTTCTCTACTTCCTAAATAATTGTGAAATCCATGTAGTTCTCTCCAGTGCCAATGGCATGATCCTAATCTATAGTAATGAAAGGGTAATATGCTAATTAGACCAGACGACCTTTCAGATGAAGCTGGGGCTGCAAGGAAAGCCCAGGTCCCGGGTGCCGGAGGGAAACCCGGGTCCTGGGTGCCAGAGGGAAGCCAGTGCCGGCAGCCAGGGGAAGGAAGGCCTACTCTTGCACAAATTTCGTGCATCGGGCCTCTGGTCTACAATAACTTTTTAAGTGGTCTCACAGACTCCAGTCTAAGCCCACTATAGTCTATTACTTTATTCTGTAATCATCAACATGAACATGTTCCTTTTAAGATGCAGATATGTATATGTTATTACCCTAATTCAACTATGCAGGGGCTTCCCATTGCCAACCTCCCTAACGTGGCTTACCAAACTCATTATGACCTGGTTCCTGACTCTATCCTGAGTATCCTTTCTCACTACTGCCCTTTCATACTCCATGCCCCTCCTGTAAGAACTTTTTATAATTCCTAGATCTGCCTTATTCTTAGTTGCCCTTGAACCTTTGTCTATGCTGTTTCTTCTGTCTGGAACAATTTCTCCCTTACTTTTACCTTCACCTTTATCAGATTAAGTACTATTCATCCCTCTAGCAGGACACAATGTCAATGTCATTTTCTTCAGAGATCATGTCCATCTTTGTATCACTAGCATTTGTTAGTGCCTAGCAAGTGGTACCAAAAGAACATTTTCTAAATGTTTTATGAAACATAAAATAAACAAAAAGCTGACTTATTGAGGTTGAAACTATTCCTGGGGCCCCAGAATGTTGATCAGTTGCCTCTCCTTCAGTCTCCTCTACTCCTGCTACCAATTGCATTGCCCAGTGCAGACCCGTGAGGCTCAGTAGCATGCAGTTCAGAAATCATTACCCAAGAATAAAGTTTTTAAAAATCCTTAAAGTGACACATATGCCTTCCATTATGTTTGCCTTCTTAGATTCTTTTTTTTTCTTTTGGCCACTTTATGGGTACTTTATGCTATGGCAGTATTGAAGTGCATATTCCACTGTGCCCCTCCTCCCCAACGCAACCACATTCTTTTATATTTCTATTAGAGGCCCAGCACACGAAATTGTGCACGGGTAGGGTCCCTAGGCCTAGCCTGCGATCAGGGCCATCTTCCACCCATTCGCCAGTCTCCAGTCCCACCCCACTGCCAACACCCACCCTGGTTCCCCGTTTGCCATCTGGTGATCTATCAGAGCCTGCGGGCCAGGGGAAGGGACCAAGAGGTTGGCCGTTCTGCCTGCTCGCCAGTTCCCAGTCCCACCCCGCCTCTGACACCCATCCTGGTTCCCCGTGGTTCCCCATTTGCCATCCAGTGATCAGAGCCTGTGGGCCGAGGGGAGGGACCAAGAGGTCTGCCTTCTGCCCTCTCGCCAGTCCCCAGTCCCGCCCAGCCGCCAACACCCATTTCGGTTCCCCCGTGGTTCCCTGTTCACCATCCAGCGATCAGAACCTGCAGGCCAGGGGGAGGGACTGAGAGGTGGTCGATGCTCCTCATAGCAACTGATCGATCGGTCATTCTGGTTGTGACACCATTATGGTCGCTGGCCGTTTATTATATAGGATGCTTTATGATCATTCTGGATCTTGTACCTAAAATGGCTTTCCCTTTCCTAGTTCCTTCTTTCTCTGGTAACTTATTCATTCCTTCAAACTCAGTTTAAGTTCTCTTTTGGGAAGCCCTTTCTGAAACTAATTCCTGCCAACCCCAGACTAGGTATCACTCTTGAGTGGTCTCATGTTTTGTGTATACTTCTATTTACCTAGCAGGTTATTTTAGAATCAGTTTATCTGTGTATCACTTTCATTACACTATGCATTCCTAAGGGAGAGAGTAATTTATTCATCTCTATATCCCTAGTGCCAAGCATAGTACCTCATCCATTTATGTGCTTAGTAAATGTTTATTAATGAATGAATGAATGAATGAAT